AAGGAACTGTCCTTTTCTGTCTCTAAAGGACACTAATTAAAGAGACTTATCCTGAACCTAAAGGTTCTGATTAGGGCACACCCAAGATTACTATTTCTGGCTAAGATAGTTGAGAAGGCTGCTGATGCTGTAAATCCATGCACTCCTGTATAACACTTGATTATTTTGACTGCTTTCAGAAACTCTTATCAGCTGGGATATGGGACTCCCAATTGCTTTCTTCACCCTGATACAGTGGTGTCTCGCTTAACGACGACAATCTGTTCCAGGAAAATCGCCGTTTAGCGAAAACATCATAAAGTGAAAATAAAAACCCCATTGAAACACATTGAAACCCGCTCAATGTATTCCAATGGGGTAAAAACTCACCGTCCAGCGAACATCCTCCATATGGCGGCCATTTTCGCTGCCTGTATAGCTGCCTGTATAGCGTTCCTAAATACAGCGGGGAGCCATTTTAATCACCCGGCGGCCATTTTGAAACCGCCGATCAGCTGTTCAGAAAACGTTTTGTGAAGAATCGGTTCCTGAAGCAGGGAACCGATCATCGCAAAGCGAAATTGCGATCGCAAAAAGATCATCGTTAAGCGGTTTTGTCGTAATGTGGGGCAATTGTAAAGCGAGGCACCACTGTAGATGAACCATTCCAGGGGCTAGTTACATGACCATCTTAGATCTTCTGAACTTCTCAGGGTCTTATACTATTTTGGCCCACCTGGCTGTTGAGTGTTGGGGGACCTATATTGCAAACTTCTGGGAAAAGCCATGCAGAGCTTTGAAGAGAACTGCTAATAACATGCAGATGGGGGATTGTTGCTGGAGTCTTGCAATGGGAATGAACAAAAAAATAAAAATAAATCTTGACAAAAGTCAGCAGAACCTGACGCTTGGGAACTGAGATCCAATTTGCTTTGGAAGGTGTTGTGCTTTCTGTGACATATCAGGTTCATAGGCTTAAGAACAGTCCTTGACTCTGCACTGTCACTGGATCCACAGTTGGCACCAGTGATGAGGACTGCATTTGTAGAACTTGTCGAGAGTATATCTGCTTTACTTTGAACATGTGTGCATAAACATGTACTAGCAGAAACATTTTGAGCTGATTCAAGAATGTGGCTCCCTGGAACGAACTGGTGGAAACTTAACAGAATTCAGTGCTCTTCCTTTAACTCTGGATGCAAAACTTAAGACAGGCCAAACTTAAGTTTAGAAAAATAGTTTGTATTTACATATGTACAGTAACTTGAATAGCTTATCTTCAGCATAACAGCTTATCCATATACAGCATATCCACAACCCATTATAACACAATACCCTGACTACTCCTTTACCAGAGCAGCCTGACTACTCCTGAATCAGAGCAGCAAAACAATCATCTCCCAGAGCTTCCTTTATACAAAGAAAAAGCCTCTGTAATCAGCAACCTGCCTGAGGCAACTCAAGCCTCAAACTCTGCCTGTTAACCTGCAACAGGTGTATGTTTTCACTTTACATGCAGTCTTTCTTAGATATTTTACTTACATGAGTACATTTCATATGTTCAAGAGTTTGATTTACAATATAGCGACCTGCTCCATTACAAATATCTTTACACAACTCTGCTTAGTGTACCATATACCGCTCACACTTGAAAAACAGCCCTGACCATTGTTTTGTTTTTAATGTATTCTCGAAGGCTTTCATAGAAGGGGGATCCGATGGTGGTTGTAGTTTTTTTGGGCTGTTTGGCCATGTTCTGGAACATGTCCAAATAGTCCAAAAAAACCTACAACAACCATGTTTGTGTTTGTTGGTTAGTAGTAGTAGGCATCCTTCAGTCTCGAGAGACTATGGTAACATGCTCTGTATGGAGGTCTTGGAACAGCGTCTAGTATGGCTGAGAAGGCCAATTCGAGAGTGACAATCCCTTCCACACTGAAGACAAATGCAATCTGTCCCCTGTCCAGCTCCCTGATTTTGCTGCTTTCGGGACTGCCTCTTTGCCTCGTTCTGCTGTACATGTGTCTCTTCAAATTGGGAGAGGCCATGATGCACCGCCTGCCTCCAGGCTGAACGCTCAGACGTCAAGGTTTCCCATCTGTTGAGGTCCATTCCTAAGGCCTTCAGATCCCGCTTGCAGATGTCCTTGTATCGCAGCTGTGGTCTCCCTGCACTAATATTCCACACAGGAGATCTTTAGAGTTAGTCTTTGAGATTTTTCTTGCTTGGCATGACTTTGTGAATAGTAGTGAGCACAATAGTGTATCCTGTAGATCAGAGGTACCCCAACCCCCGGTCTACAGCCCGGTGCTGGTCCGTGGCCTGAGCCTAAGAGGTATCCCATCCCCCGGTCTACAGCCCGGTGCTGGCCCGTGGCTTGAGCCAGACCGGGTCGCAGAGAGAGACCTTCCTCCCACCCCTGCACACACTCTCCCCTGCAGCAGCATGGGGACCACTGCTGCAGATCATCTTGACTGCTGCCATTGGTGTTGTCAAATTTCAGGCTGCCCTCTGCTATGAAAAGCTTGGCATCTTTTTTCCTGTTGGCAACACCGCTACCTTACGGGGCAGCAATATCAGGCCATTTCCTGGCATTTGAAGTGGATACAGAAGTACAGTGCTCCACATTCATTAACTGGAGGTTTTTTTTGAAGAACTGAATCTTTCTTGTGTCAACCTGACTTGGCAACAGACATCCTGTCTTATTGACATAGCATGTAGACTTCTGTAGTGAGCTCTACATGTGGCTATCCTTGAAGAAGATCCAGGATTCAGTTAGTGTAATAGTGTAGTAATCCTGAGTTGTTGTCTGACACTGTATCCACTAAACCAAACTTGGACTAGAAAAACTCTGGAGAGTTTCTATCTACCAATGTAGTAAATCTTGAATTGGATGGACCAATAATGATGTCACCAAGGATACGATAGCTTTTTGTGTTTCAGACCCTGCACATAGATTTTGATTAATGCAAAACATTTTATACAGAAGTTGGTGATGATGGTGTGAAATTCCTGTTATCTTGCCCCTTCCATTTAAAATATCCATGGGTAGTCAGTGTGAACTTGCCCCAGTAAGAGGCAACCATATGTTGGTCACTCTTCCCTCAATATATTTTTGAACAAGAAGCATGCAGTAATGAGAAGTCTGTTTTTCTTTTCATGCTAACACTGTGGAACAAGCCACATGGCAAACATTTCCTATAGCGATGTTACTGCTTTCTAATATCCCTGTGAAACTTTGAGGCTCTGTATGTTTCCTGTAACAACACATGGTATCAACATCTTTCTTATATGCTGAAGCTATGTGCTACCCACTGGCTTGTCAATAAATACCGTCGTTGATTTATCCTATTCTTTTATAAGCACTCTCTAAGAGTTGGATAGTGTGTGCTTTCCAGATTTCCCTGCAGCTCAAGTGTTTATTAGGATGATGGGGTTGCACTCTGCTTTCCAGAACTGCATCGCCAGCTGTACCGTATCCTCATTGGAGTCATCTAAAGGGCTTCAAACAAAGAAGGAAGGTGGATCCGTCTTCTTGAAGCCGCAGCTAATCCATGTAATCTGGCAACCTAGCTATTTCCGAATAGGAGTGCAGGAAGGAAATTATTTCCACAGCAATGGAACACATCTCTTTCTAGGGCCAAATTTTCTCAGTAGTGGCTTTGCCTTGTTTGTGGTTAGAGGCCCTGCATGTGTAAGCATATGCTTTGCCAGATTTTTAGTGTGTTGTAAGAAAACTTGTACTTTATTTGCAAACTAATGTAGCATATGCTTTGTCTGACTTTGTCTGAAACCAGACCTTCTCGGCAGTGTCCCCTCGCCTCTGGAACAGTCTGCCCCCAGAGATCTATCTGGTTCCCCTCGCTGGGTGTTTTTAAGAGCACATTTAAGACCTGGCTCTTTAGGCAGGTTTTCCCTCCTGTTATCACTTGAATATTTTTCCCCATCTCAAACTATATTACTGTTGTTGTTTTTTATTTTATTATATTGTTTTTATTTTATTTTTTATTGTTAGCTGCCCAGAGTAGACTTTGGTCTAGATGGGTGGGGTATAAATTTAATGAATGAATGAATGAATGAATGAATGAATGAATGAATGAATGAATGACATCTCAAAGCATTTACAAAATTTGGGGCTAGGATATAGTTCGCTTCCCACCCCCTTTTAGAATAATCAGTCCATAGATTGGCTGAGATTAAATCATTGATGCGTCTCAAAATTTCTGGTTAACCCAGGTGGCTTTCCTAATACATTTAGTTTATTTTTTAGTGCTACTGCCTTTGTGAGTGATTTAATTTGATTTAAGACGGCTCGACTTACAGACTTTTCGAGTTACAGACTTCTCTGGCCGCAAAATTTAGGTTCGACTTGCAGCCAGAGAATTGACTTACAGACCAGAAAAAAGCCAAAATGGAACAAAAATGGAACAAAAACGGCCGGTTACAGGATTAATCGGTTTTCAATGCAGTGAGCGCTCAAGGTTGATTTCCTTTAGAATGGATAGGTTTGTTCTCCTTGCAATCCTGGGGACTCTCAAGAGCCTCTTCCAGCACCACAATTCAAAAGCATCAATTCTTCAGTGGTCAGTTTCTTTATGGTCTGACTCTCACTTCCATACATCACTACAGGAAAACCATAGCTTTGACTATGCAGACTTTTGTTGGCAAGGTGATGTCTCTGTTTTTGAACAAATTGAACAAAAACGGCTGGTTACAGGATTAATTGGTTTTCAATGGAGACTCGACCTACAGACTTTTTGACCTGCAGCCACCATTCCAATACGGATTAATTCCGTAAGTAGAGAGTCCACTGTATAAGGTTTTGGGCTAATGCTTTCAGCTATCCTGGTTACTGGAGCTAGTGGTGAAGGATCATGGTATCTTAATCAGAAAACACAGGGAGGGCCACAGTTGCACATTCTTTCTATGAGGTATAGTGTTTCACGTGTCAAATATGTATATAGACATCAATGTATTGTGTCAGTATAGAAATGATGCATGTCTTTCTGTGTCTTTCACAGGTAAACGTCAAATTCATCATTTGGGAAACCAGCTTCAACTTAATCAGCATTGCCTTGACACTGCCTTCAACTTTTTCAAGATGGCAGTGAGCAAACATTTAACCCGTGGGAGGAAGATGACTCATGTCATAGCTGCATGCCTCTACTTAGTGTGTAGGACGGAAGGCACTCCACGTATCCTTTTGCCACTGAACAATAACAGAATTGAATTTTTTTTTTGTGGAAAAATACAGTTTATTTGCTTGTGAATGTAGTCAAGAGCAGGCCTTTGAATCTTTCTTCCATCTGCTTACCTTCCATTCTCCCTACTTGTGCTGAGCTGGTCATCCATTTTTAATGTTTCTATTCCTTTCCCACCTTGACTTTGTCCTCCTGCTGTTCCGCTCTTTATTACCTTTTTCTTTATTTCTTGGCATTTCTTGGGAATGTTTCATTCTTTTGTGGTGGTATTGCCGAAAGTGAATCTGCATGGACATCAGAGTAACAATAATAGATGTTTAGAAAAATAAGAAACAGCATACTTGATTCCAAACCTGAGAAAATTGATTTGCAGGGACTTTATAGAATACAAGGCTAATAATAGTAAACAGTAGATTGGGGTGGGGGAATACATGTCCCTTCAGAATATGGACTACAGCTCCCATCAGATTTGTTACTGTAATAAATGATGCAGTACAGCAGCAGCTGACAGAGCACATGTTCTCCATCTTTGGCAACAGATAGTAAGCTGATCTACAGAAATGTGGGAAATATATAAGATATGAAAGAATGATGAAAATAACATGTAACACCTGAAATCTTGTTTGTGCTAAGTTCTGTGGTATAAGGTTGGTGACATTATTAGCCAGGACAAATTTTTGGAAATTAAAAATTCCTTCTCATCCTGAGGCCCCTACAGGTCCTGATTAATTCCTTTCATCATTGGGAACCTGTGGGGTTTGCAGAACAGGTGGAGGGCATCTTTAATTACTGAAAATCACTGCCACCAGGATGACTTTACTGGTGGTTGCAGTTTTTGGTAATAAAAAGCATTCCCCGTCCTGTCCCATATTCCCATGAGTTCCCAATGGTGGAATGAATTATTTGGGACCTTTGTGGGCTTTGAGGTGGGAGAGTAGTAGAAAACTAGAAAAAGTATAGAAGCTCAATGATGGGAAGAAAACTAATATAATCCACCCACCCTGGGAATGAATGAATGAATGAATGAATGAATGAATGAATGAATGAATGAATACCTACCTACCTACCTACCTACCTACCTACCTACCTACCTACCTACCTAGCTCAGACCTAGGCCAAGAAGTCTATGAAGCTTGTGAGGTGAGAGAAAATTCTTTGCCAGGGGAACCAGAGCTTCCCAATACTCTGTTTCTAGCTGTCCTGGTTGTAAAACCTCATAGAAATTGGTGGTTAAATCATGACAAAGAAAAAAGAGAATCAGAAACCCACACATATGAGTTTTGTCTGAAGAACTCTGACTGATATAAAAGTGTTTGGATATTAGACCCTATATGCAGATCCAATGAGTGGTGCAGTGAATAGTATACTCAGTAGGCATTTGGGTCCTTCTGCCATCTGTTCAACAGATTGCATCATAAGAACATCCTTTGGACTGAGCTTTACTCTTACTTGTGCAGTGCTCTGGCACAGCCTTCCCTGCTGGTCATTATATACTTGATTTTTGGGGTGGATACATGCAAAGTTTTTTTCTGATTTTCCACCAGCACTGTTGAAACCCCATCCCGTGTGTGCAAAGTTCTGGCTTTGACCAGAACCAAATGAGTGGCAACACTTAACTGTGGGTGCTCAGCACCAGTACCACAGCCATGCACCTGCATAGCTTAGAGGGAGCGTTGTATACATGTATGTGTGTGGGAATGGTACAGTTAAATTAGCCCTTTCTACTTACTTCATCAACATAAAGTGTTTGCATTTTCACCTTGTCATTACCGTGACTTTCAACCCCTAGGAAAAAGTAATATACATGAGAGGCCATCTGGCTCAGTGATCTGTGTGGGTTTGTTATATAAGCAACAGCAAGAAGTAAACTGGATAACTGATTTTGCATATGTTGACAATCTGTTTATTAGAATGGGCCTGTTCTGCTGAATTCCACATAGTTCTCCGCCTGCCTCTTGCCAGATCGAGCATCCTTTTAAACAGGAATGTGACTTTTTAATAGAATGCAACTCTTATGAAGGTCTGTATCTCTCCCCTTCCAACCCCTCTAGCATCCCCAGCCTGTTATCACCTGGTGAGATGAATGGAAGCAAATCTTCACAGGGAGTAGTGATACAAAAGTGTTTTTGCTTACAGAAGGTCTTTGCTTCAATCCCTGACTAGTTAAAAGAATATGCTGGCAGGTAGGCAAAATTTCAGTGAGAGACATGGATGGCTTCTGTCAGTCAAGTATTACTCCGTTAGCAAACAGGTGCTTAACAGATTGATAATGAGGTTTTTGTGCATTTCCCTCCCCCACTAGATACACGTAAGGGATGTGGTGGCACTGTGGGCTAAACTGCAGAAGCCTGTGCTGCATGGTCAGAAGACCAGCAGTCGTAAGATCGAATCCACGTGATGGAGTGAGTGCCCGTCGCTTGTCCCAGTTCCCGCCAACCTAGCGGTTCGAAAGCATGGAAATGCAAGTAGATACATAGGGACCACCTAGGTGGGAAGGTAACAGCGTTCCGTGTCTAAGTCGCACTGGCCATGTGACCACAGAAGATTGTCTTCGGACAAAACGCTGGCTCTATGGCTTGGAAATGGGGATGAGCACCGCCCCCTAGAGTCGAACACGACTGGACAAAAATTTTCAAGGGGAACCTTTACCTTTACTTTTACTAGATACACATAGTGCTTGACTATACTCCTGAGGTTTATCAGAGCTTTGATCTGTTTCTATTTTGCACAGTCTCTTGTTTCCTCCCAGCTCTAGAGGGTTGAGGAATGCCCTGTAGCAGATTTTTGGGAGAGAGGTCAGAGCTGTGTAGTGGGGGAAAAGGTAAAGGGAAATCCCTCGGTGTGAGTAGGGACTTACTTTTCCTTGGTTGGATGTCATCTCATTCTGTGCTTCCATACTATTTTTAGAAATTTTGAATTAGGGATTTTTGTGCATGTTGTTGGAGGGGATTATTATGATGTACCGCACTGTATGTGTATTCTTACTAGATAATATACAGCAAGAAATAATCCCTTAGTTAATGTGCAGATTGTCTGGACTGTTCTTCCCATATAGACATGCAAATCTGTCTTAGCTGGAGTTAGACCTTGGCTTCACCTAGCCCAGTGCTTCCTGCTTTGTCAGTGAATCTCTGGGAGAGAGTCTCTCCTAGCCCTGCCACTTGTTCTGGTTAGATTGTAAATGGCAGGGATTTTACCTGAGGGTTTATGTGTTCTGCCACTAAGCTTTGATCCCCACCCCCGTGCTAATCGTTTTCTGTGTTTTGTTGTATATTCAATGGAAAACTTGACTTGCTGACTTCTTCCTGACCCAAACTAAGCAGGATAGTTTTGTACATTTGGATGAATTGTATGAAGGAATTTGTGCTACAATCTTGGCAGAGGAGTATTTTGATACTGTTGTTGTTGTTTAGTTGTTTAGTTGTGTCCGACTCTTCGTGACCCCATGGACCAGAGCACGCCAGGCCCTCCTGTCTTCCACTGCCTCCCAGAGTTGTGTCCAATTCATGTTGGTCGCTTCGATGACACTGTCCAACCATCTTGTCCGAAGTAAGCAGAGTGGAACAATTTGTTTCTCTGCTGCTATTATCTAATTGTACTAATGGGGCATTTTGAAATGTTTGGTGCTGTCAGTAATGCATTTAGGCCATTCCCTCTTCCAGACTCTCTTCAGGGAACTCGTGGTGGTACATAAGATCTCCCACTTTTTAATCTCTCAAGGTAGTGTGTAAGATCTCTCATTTTTTAATCCTCTTGTAGCATTTCTGTAATCAGGTTACACTGGAAATTAGGCACTAGTCTGCTATGGAAGGAAAAAATTTGGAGGGTGGAGGACTAAAACCTCCTTGTGAAATGTTCCCTATTCAGATTATTCTTTTCAAGAGTTGCTAGCTGTTATTTTCTCTCATGGAGGAAGAATCTGATAATACCACACAGAACTTCAGGCACAGGTGTGTTTGTGTGTAGTTCCATTCAGGTAAATGCAGAACTTGGAAAAATTCAATTTTTTTGAATTGGATATGCTGACTGGAGGATTTGGGGAATTGTGTTCTTTTTCCACGCTATGGCAGATGGTGCGAGGGAGAACTCTAACCTTCCTCCTCTTCAGAAGCACCACCCTGATGTGAGCAGGATTTTCTCCAGCAAAAAAAAAAGTGTGCCATGGGAAGGGTGTATTTTTCTTTTTCTTTAAATCTGTGTGAGATCTTCTTTGCTGATGGGCCCATAGCGGGCTTTGACTCTTGAGACCTTGCCAGCTGAGGTGCAACATTTGACTCTAGTTGCAAGTGCTTAACATGTTTGCGGAACTAGACCTTAATTTGCAGTTTGGAAAGGTTACAAGTTTTACTTGTGCTGATTGAAATGTTTCTAGCTTTGCTATTCTGATTAAAAACAAGAAGTGTTTTTGCTGTAGTTCTCAAGAGAGAACTCATATTGTGGAAGAGCTGGATGTAGTTTAGACATGTTTCAGAGTACTGTAATACGTGGCTGAAACAATACTTGGATTACATAATATTTTCCAGATGGAATATTTAATGTTTTTGTAGCACAGTAGCACGTAACTGAAAATGTGCACCGTAAAGTTGGGAAAACTGAGTTTTGTATATTAGTATATTTTTTGCTTTTCCTGTTTTTCATGAGGGATGAAACAGTGAGACCTTCATGGTGTCACCTTCATCTATAGTCCTTGTCTGCTTCTACAAATCAGTGTAATCCTGTGTATCGGCATTTGTTGATTGATGCTAGACTGCTTGAATTTTTCTTTTACATTTTCACTTTAGCTGGCTGATGTATTAAATTGTCAAAGGCACGATAATGAAATTTCTGTGTTTTTGATGAGTTGGATTTGCAATTGAGTGTACCATGTTTAAAATGAGAGAGGGAAAGATTACTGCAACTAGTCATCCAAATTTTCTGTCAGGGAGAAGCTGAAACTTGTTTTAAATTATGCAGCTTGAGCAACAATTGCATATACTCTACTAATTTGTCTTATT